ATGAAATGAACTTAAGTTACGTTTGACTTCAAGATTTTAAATTATCATATTGCTACTTTGACTCAAGAAAGAGATCCTATGCTTCTTCTATTAACATTGTGACGGGCCCCAGGGTTGGCCCTATCTTGTCTGCTGTTACCCCCCCCCTTGTTTCAGGAGGCTGATGGGTGGAGTTGAGGCATCTGCAGTGATGCTGCACACCTGAGTAAGAGCGACTCAGAGGCTATAACTTATATCTGTAGGAGCTTCTCACTCTCTCCCCCTGACCTGCTGATACCTTAAGATACTGTGGGCAAATCCTCTTTGCAGCTTTGCTGAAAAAGCTTCCTTACCCTCATGACCTTCTTTTACCACAAATGTCATTGTGCAGTAGTGCCAGCTCTTGTGTGGTGATCAGACTGAATAACCATTTTAATTGTCCCTTATGGTAAACAGATCAATTCAAAGATCATTTATTGACAATAATTGTTATCTGATGCATGCATTTATGCAGCAAATACCTGTTGTAATTGGTTACAACTAAATCGAGTACTTTGAAGCTTTGGACTGTTGGTGAGATGCTGGATGATCCACTGGGGAAATGGACAACAGTGCTGCAGTCTGCTGTGCTCTGGTTCACCATGTAGCAGTTAGTTTGTGATACTTTTGTCAATAGTAAGTAATATTGCATCAGCTACAAAAACCACACAAACCTCAAATTGCTTGCCAGACTAACATGTCATTTTGAGACTCCATCTTATATACACTCTCTGATTTAAAAAATAAATTAAGCTAGAAACTTTCATCATTTCAATGTCAGTGTGCTTGGTTGTCTGTCTCTAAGTGTAGCCCTGTGATAGACTGGTGACCTGTCCAGGGTGCCCCCTGCCTTCGTCCTAAGTCGGCTGGGATAGGCTCCAGCCCCCCACGACCCTACTGAGGATTTATCGGTGGATAGATAATGGATGGATGGATGGACTTTCATCATTTCGGTTTATCTTATTACACATCTACTATACACAAGTTCACTAATATGCACACAGTGCACAGAAAGTGCAATAAACCAGGAGGCCAGTAGAGGGCCTGTTTGTCCTGGGCCTCTTCAAAGGGTTCATTCAGCCTTGGCTCTGGTTCTGGCAAATTGTAATTGTAATGAACTGATGCAATTTAGTCACTGGTTTTGTTGGCTGTGTAAACTCTAAATCCACAAAGTGTAGTGACTAGAGTTATTAGATAAATGTGGTGGATTGAAGAGTGCCACTCTAATGTAGGGGAGAATTATAAAAATGAAATTTAAAAAATAAAATAAAATTTGGCATGGGTACCTGAAAACTGTAGATAGGTCTAAAAAAAAGCAACAGTAGGTTAATGTTAATTCTTTTAGGTCACTCTGTGGACATTATAATGAAAAGATTTGCAAGCATTTTGTTATGATATATTGTAGCTTTATTCTCTTTTTGAATTCAGTCTGCTTTTCCCTGTTTTGCTTTTCCTCCTCACTTTGGATTCAGTTTAATTCCTTGTTTAATAAATCCTTTTGAGCATCACTTTAACTGCCTGTCTGCCTGATCTGTGTCTGCACCTGGGTTCCCTGATTCCCCACCGTGACACATCTTACAAGTTTAAGAAGTAAAAATGTTTTGGAGCAAATGAGTTGAGGACCTTAACAAATGGTGGTACTAAACGATTTACCTCAAGCTGCAAGAGTAAGTCACAATTAAGTTTAACAAGTGGTTTAAAATTTTGACTTTGGTGATATAATTTCCTTTTTCTGGTCATAACAGAAGATCATATATAAAGATATGCAGGTAATTGCATAAGATTAACTATATTATCAAATTCTGATGTTGCCCTGACTTACCTGAAACAGGAATATTGGCACAAACTATTTAATATTTTTCTTTCTGAATAGTTTATTGCCAATTGCTTTACAACTGAGGAACCTAAAAGAAACCTTAACACTGACGATATTTAAATTCACTACATAAAAGGAGTCAAATCAACAGGGATGTTTAGTTTGTGTATAAACCCACTTTTAGATCTAGAACTGCACAAGCCATAAAATAAAAAAGAGCTTACAATATATGAGCCCAAATAAAAATGGTGAAATAAAAATGTATGGAAATAAGAACTAAATTAAAGCCGCAAGCGGCGATGGAGGGTCCTCGCACCTACGCTTGTCGGCCTG